AGGACTTGTAGTGATCCAGGTTATGACTCGACTGTGACTCATAAGGAACATTGTAGAATAGTATAGAACGTTATGGTAGGTACTGGAAGGTTCTAGTACAGTACTTGTATAGTAGTATATAAGACGCTAGCTGAAGTCGATGGACTTCAGCTCGTCCATCTGTTATACACGCCCTTAGCGCTATAACGATTGACGGTTCGGTTACGGCCTTTTAGACTTAAGACTAAGACACCGCTACCTACAACAACCCACCACACTCGACCTAGTGCGTCTAGAGCCCGAACTCTCACGCCTAAGTCACACGACACAGCCTAGACTACAACGACAGACTTTACACCAAGTCTAACTACCACGACGGTTCGGTACCCGCCTAAGGTACCACGATCTAGGGGTTCTTACAGTAGCTCCGCGAACATGTTGCATGTAAGGCACAGATATAGCTTGATAGTACAAAGCCTCAACAGCGAGCTCAGTCAGTGTCGGAACATCCTGAAGTGCATGATAAACATTCTTCTCAAGGTTTGTGAATGTACGGCTGCCCTTGGCATCCCGCAGCTCCTCAAGTACTGTCAAGATTGCATGCCGTTTCCACAAAGAGAATCCTGCGCCATTGCCATAGGAGCCATAGCGTGTGTTGCTGGTATCCGGAAAGACTAGTCGATAGCCAGAGCGAGCCTCGAGCCACCAGCTAAAGGTGTCGTGATATCCCTTCTTGTCGTCCTTATGATTGAACAGAGCACCACAAAGTTGTACAAGTTTCACGCCACCAGACGTGGAGCAGTCAATAGCGCGTTGTTGATCCGCTGCAGATCCCGTCGAAGCAGATGCGGCATTAAAGACATTGAGGAGCTTCATTGGTGGCTCAATTCCACGGTCCACCCACATTGCCATCATGGCTGTGTTCCCACCTATTCGTAGTATGAGAACATATACATGCAGTGGTGGGAGAATTTACCTTTAAAGGCATTGAGTTCCTTATGCATACAGCATCCTGCACGAGCAAAGAAGTCGAAGCTATTCCTGTCTTCAGGTGAGAGAGCATCGTATGCACCGGTAGCGAGCCGGAGACACATCTCCTGGAATACATCCGTGTCGTGCTTTGCCTGCTCAACTGGGGACAAAGCTTGCCAAGCCTCCCACCCACCCACACGCGTGATCTTGGTATTGAGCAGATCCATAACTGATGCAGCAAAGTCATCGGTTGACTTATGTAGAAACACATCTTCTCCGAGACTCAAGCGCGAGTTCAGTGCTTTCCAGTCTTTCCAACGGTTGACCAGAGCAAACTGATCATTCGAGTGATCGCACGCATATCCGAAGAGCACTCGGGCAAGATCCCGGACCACAAGCTTCTTCGGAGCAGACTGTGCCGATGGTCGACTGTTCTGGATTGCGTGCATAGACTCAAGCGAGCCAATCCAGCCCTCGTGCTGTGCCTGAGCGGTATGAGATCCGGCAGAGCTGATGCCAAGAAACCACCGTTGCGTGGTGTAGGTACCCGAAGACTGCATATCCGGTGATTTGGTGGCCGGCGAAGGTGTGAACTGCGTTGTGATGGCACACTTTGACTCATAGTTCACATGGTGATGTGTTGTCCCATCACCACTCAGAGTGATGCCTGAATTGTATGGTTAACGGGATATCCTTGATGTATTAACAGAACTTACCATCTGCTTTATGCAAGGCGTCAGTTATCTGAATTTTAGAAGCAATTCAGCCTTCGCGAACGGCCCGCTGGACAGTCCGGCGGCTGATATCTCCAAGAACCGTGATATCAAGCTCATCAGCAACCGCGTGGACAACATCGTTCACACGATGCATTGGGACTTTGCATTTGGAAACAAGCTTCCGGGCAAGAGAACGGGTCCGGTCCGTGTGTATCCCTTTGTGTTTCAGCCGGAAGCTGTGAGATTGGCGGGATAGCTTCTCCGCTTCCTTTTTCGCAGCTACAGCAGCCTTCAGCCGCTTTTGTGCACGGGCACGTTGTGCACGAATTGCGTTACGCTGCTTGACAAGGATGTGAATCCGTGTAGACAGAGTTTTGACCAGAGCATCCCTGTCAGCAAGGTCTTCGAGTATACAAGAGTTCTGGAGCCGGAGGTCTTCCAGATCGGCCAAGAGAGACGCAACCCGATCATTCAGAGCTTGGATTGCCTCCAGAAGGCCGTGAGCAGAGTCGGCTTGAGCTTCAAGATCACTGGCCATCAGCAGAGAGCAGTCCAGTTGCTCGTTCAGATCAGAAAGCCTATCCCGAAGAAGATCCCTTGAGTTCTGTGCGCGCTTCTTCTGTTTGAGTTCATTACAGCTCTTCCTTCTATAGTGATCCCGGGAGCCGGTAGCTTTCTCCAGAGCAGCAGAGACCAGCGTGAGTTTTGCCAGATTAAAGTCTATAGCCATTGACATTTCCGCATACAAGTCTCTAGAGTTGTTGCCTAGATGAGCCAAGGGGTGAATATTCTGAAGGTGTAGCTGTTGGAGCGCAGATCGCTTGCCCATCTCGAGCTGATGCCAACTCCGCGAGGCGTACCGATGAGGTGGCGGGCGAGTTACCGCTGCTTAGATAAGCGGATCCAGGAGTTTGGGCCCATATCCTTGAACGCCGCGCTGAGCTTTGGAAACAGCGCCATTAATGCGGGAAAAATTCATGGAAGCCCTCAGAGTACGTCCAAACAAAATGTTGAGAACAGATCTCCATACTCTCTATGGTTTTACTCTTTCATAATACGAGGATCTCACTATCCAGGCCAAAAACATGATTTCTATTCGCAACATATTGTCCGGAAGCTCTCCATTATCAACTTCTCTCCGCAAAGTTGTCTGTGAATTGTTATACCGGGCACACCAACCACCTTGGACGGACCACAAACCATCCTCACCGTCGCGAGTCGAGGTGGCTGACACGTGGGAACGTACGTCGGAGCGGGAAATTCCTGCAGGCGTTGCTCGTCCCCAGGAGCAGAGGCATAACAGAAAAACGACAAGCAAGGATCATGTGATCCGTGGGAAATTGAATAGGGGCCACTCCTCTTGCATATCGGACGAATGTTCGGGCATTCGATATCTTGTAGGAATAGATTCTTTGAAGTAACTACGTGGATTCCACTAATGTAACAGGGTGAGGAGGGTGGGACGAAACAGCGGGCGAGCGGGCAGGGATCCTCCTCGCCGCCCTCGAGAGCGGAGACGAAGCGCCAGCAAGGCGACCTCCGCCGTCCAAGAACTTGCACCGCCGCACGTGACCTCAGCTCCGGTGCGCCCACGATAAACTGATCATGGTGAATCGAGCGACCGAAAATACGATGGACATTATGCAAGTTTATCTCTAGTATGCATCCTAATCTATTCTAGCGACCGCGATATTACGCACGATGATGACCCGCCCCGAGCCCAAAGAAAACGATGACCTAGTTGACAGCCATCCGCGAGCTCCTTGCGGTAGCGCGGGGATCTATGAAGAAGGGGTGTATTTTGAGGATATTCTTGGTTCTTACTCGAATTTGGGCGGGTTGGACGTGCCCTCCGGATCTGCACACGAAAAATGGCGGGGCAGACGGACATGCCAATCAACGACGGAAACAAACCAACAAAGACAGAGGATCGAGACTTACCTTGGCTCGTTTTCAAGATGTAGTCCCTGTCCTTCTGCGCCAGGTGCAGCACGTAGCTCACCACCTCGTGCGCGTCCACGGCCACCTTCGGGTTCACCCTCGCCCCGCCCCGGATCGCCGCCGCGGCGACATGGTATCTCGACGTGTGATTACACAGCATCATCTGTCCCGTCCCCGTTCAGCCAGCTGCTCTCCATGCACACGCCGCGACGAAGACGGAAGGCGCACTCACGTCGAACGGACTCGTCGTCGTCCCTTCCTCCCGGTACCCCTCCACGCTCACCCTCTCCAGCCTGCTCCTCCCGAACAGCAAGCCCTTCAGCTCGACCGGGTACCCGTGATAGTTGAAATGCACGCTCCTGTCCGGCGTGAACATGGCGTCAAAGTCGGCGTCGGTCATCGCGTGCGGGTGCGAGCCCTGCGGGCCGAGGATCATCAGGTCCGTCACGTTGCACACCCGGACGCGCAGCGCGGGCGCGACCGTGCGGAGCAGCGCCGCGGCAGCGACGACCTCGAACGTCATCTCGACGCCGATCCCGACGAGCACGCTGGTTCGAAAAAGGATCAGCGGGAGAAATGGAAATAAAAGACGGAGTCCGAACTCACACGTCTGGATCCACGCCCTCGTCCGTGCTCGCAAACTTCCACACGGACGCGCCGGCGATGCAATGCTACGATCGATCACCGTCAGCAACCATACTCCCAAGCAAGGAAAAGGGAAGGTGGTTACCTTATCCGCTTCCTCCGGGCTGAGCCACACCGGCGTCGGCTGCTTGCTGCCCACCATCAGGTTCACGTAGTTCCTCGCCCTCAGACAATGCGCCATCGTGCTCAAAAAGCAGTTCGCGTCTGACGATGAACGGGAAATCGTGAGCAGGCGTGGCAAGGTTGGAACGGAGGGAGGACGACGTTACCGGGAGGCAGGTAGACCCGCATCCACTGCGGCTTGAGGTTGAGCACGGCGCCGATGAAGGACGGGTTCTGGTGCGAGAACCCGTTGTGCTCCTGCCTGGCCCAGGTGCTGGTCTCGAGGTAGTTGAGCGACCCGATGTCGCCGTGCCACTTGGTCTCGCGCGCCTGAAGTGACACAGCAACGTCAGCGTCCGAGGAACGGACAGAGAGGTAAGGTTTGAAGCGCGCACCATCTTGTTGAACTTGGCATACTGCACCATCTGTTGAACGCGCCCTCGGCCGGTCAGCTTCCCGTCCTTATCGAAAACGATCGGGGAACATACCATGGTATGTACGATCCCCAGAAAGCTCTCATAACTCGGGAACAAGCCCGTCCTACCCGTGAGCGTATACCCCTGCAACATGCCCTGACACACGTGCTCGCTCAATATTTCGATCACTCTCCCGCCTTGCGCCCGGCTCTTCTCGTCCCACTGCATATTCCGGCCCGTCACCTCGAACACCGCATCGAGCTTGTTCGACTCGAGCTCGTCCGGCGAAAAGATCCTGAACGACGCCGGGTTGCGCTCGATCACGGCGCGCAGGAGCCGCCCCACCGCCTGCATGCAGCTCGCCTGTTCCCCCTTTTCCTTCGCGATGGCGAACTCGCGCCAGTCGGGGACGTCGAGCGGTCGGTAGGCTTTGTACGCCTCCGCGCGCTGGCCGAGCCTCTTCTCCTTCTCCTGCGGGATTATGCTGAGGATGTCGTCGACGGGCGCGCCGTCCACCGTGAACAGCTCCTCCGTCTTGTACGATCGCAGCCACGCCTGCAGGGCCTCGAGCTGCTTCTGATCCTTGTTGGCGGCCGGGAGCGGGACCTGGTGCGCGTGAAACGAGCCCTCGATGATCTTCCCGTCGAACTCCTTCGGCCCGCCCCATCCCTGCGAACCTCATCAGACATCTTGACCCTTGTTTTTTATACTACGATTCACAAGAGATCACAGAGCGGAATTCACCTTTGGCGTGCGCATGATGAGCACCGGCCAGCGCGGCTTGACGATCGGCCTCCCCTCCCTCGCCGCCTTCTGTATCTTCCCGATCTCGGCCACCGCCCACTCCAAGCTCGCCGCCAGATCGCGATCGATCTCGCCCAGGTCCTCCACGAACCGGACCTGATATCCGTACCCGACGAAGAGCGCGACGAGCTCGCGGTCGTCCATCGTCCCGTACACCGTCCGCTCGCTGATCTTGAACCCGTTCACGTGCACGATCGGGAGCACCGCGCCCGACTCTTTCGGGTCGAGGTACTTGGCGGCGTGCCAGGCCGCGGCGGTCGGCCCGGTCTCGGCCTCGCCGTCGCCGACGACGCAGACGGCGAGCAGGTCGGGCTTGTCCATGACGGCGCCGAAGGCGACGGAGAGCGCGTACCCGAGCTCGCCGCCTTCGTGGATCGCGCCGGGGGTTTCGGCGTTGACGTGCGAGGGGAAGCCGCCCGGGCAGGAGAAGCGGGAGACGAGGGAGTGCAGGCCGGACGTGGTTCGTGGGTAGGAGGGGTAGAAGGGCGCGAGGGAGTCTTCGAGCCAGAGGCAGGCGAGGAGCGCGGGCGCGCCATGGCCTGGAGACGCGTCGGTTAGCGGTAGATAGGA